CGTAGGCTTCGCACGAGGGGCATATATAATCGGAGTGAGGGACAGTGAGCCAAGCAGGGGGGCTGCTGCGTACGTAGTTATCGTAGAAGTCGGGTCGAGAACCCCGGGGGAAACCATTCCACGAGAAACTAAATCCTGAAAACGCGCATTGTTTGTGAAGGCTTCCCGAGCCGTGGCGGCCCTGAAAGAGCTTTAAAAACATGGCCGAAGAGCCCCGACAGGGGGCTCACTGGGCGGGAGGTTCACGTCTGTACTGACTCTGTTTTCCTGCTGGCTGCTGCTGCTGCTACCACCTTCTACTTGTTCCTGGATCCCACCATGTCGCCGATCTCCCTTTCCAAGGGCCCTCTCTGAGCCGCTCCCGACAAGAAAGCTCCCCGCTCGAACTCCAGCAATTTTTCCATCTGCCAAGAGAGGGTGGCGCCGACCATCGTGTCCCTGTGGAACGCCATCGAGAGGATTGCCTTCGGAACGTCGCCGTTCGCTGCCTTCAGCACCTGGCAGCAGAAGTACGGGGCGGCACGGCCGATCTTCATCGCCGAGAGGCTTGGACGCATGACCTCCGTGTTGTAGAACTCCTTCATCGCGTCTCCGAGCTTGATCTGTACTGGGTTGCCACCTTCGCCAAACTGCTTGCCCGCGCCATGCAGGATGGCCGCCATCGCTATGTGGACGTGGGGAGGGCCTCGCTCCTTGTAGTTCACATCTCCGCCCTCGCGAGCGGTCTCCTTGATCTCCAATCTCATCTTGTTGTAGGCCACTCCCGCCGTCTTGCTCGCAGCCGTCACCCCCCTCGTCGCATCTGGCATCTCGTGTCGGAGGTAGACCGTGCTCTTCAAGCCCGCGACCTCCCGCGCGATCGTCATGGTGAGCCTGGCGTTGGCGATGCCGAGTTTGCTGTTGCCTGCGCCTGCGCCCCCGCCTTTCTTGTCGGCCTTCGCCCCCTTGTGTTTCTTGTCGGCGTCCGCGCCGTCGGCCTCTGCGCCCCTCCTGGTCTTGCCCCCGCTGAACCACGAGGGTGGCGCCGCGGACGGTTACATGGCTGCGCCCTCCCTGCCGCCTCCCATCTTCAAACGGGCGTGGTCGCAGAGGTAGATGCGTGCAGAGGTGTTCGCAGAGGTCGCCGAGACCCGAGCCGTCGAACTCGCGTGCTGGGCAGGCGAACGTGTTGACAGGTGTATATCGCGAAGCGTACTGGGCCCCGCCGTATCACAGTACTTTCGGAACATAGATCCCACGGCATGTTCAGCAGCGCCAGCTCGACATGCAAATGCTTGGCGACAACGTACACATACAATTGTAGGAGTACGTGCGTATTATGTGTTACGCAGCCCGTGCCCCCCCCCCCTGGGGTGATTCATGAGGTTTCGACGCGTCCCGAAACAAGCGTCGCACATCGCGTTTCCGTTTTCCTCCTGGGGTAGCCATCGCCTCCATTGATGGTTGGCACTCTGGGTTTCCTCCACAACCCCTGGCTCATGTGGCGCAGGTGGAGCATGCTCGGGAGGAGGGATGTTGACGGTGTACTGCCTCGATCTCAGCAGAGGCATCCACAGAAACAAAAAAAGAGGCTGTCGCTTCATCCGTGAGCGATCTGACATCCCGAGCCACCGTAGCAAACACTTCTTCACCCAAGACGTTGGACATACAAAGAAGGTCTTCTTGTATCTGGTGTGCCAAGGGGCACGCGTGCGGGCCGAGGTCTCCAGGAGGAAGAAGGGGTCCCTCCTGCTCGAAGGGTAGCGAACCGAAGAGGGCCCCGAGGATCTGGAGGTGGTGGGTGGGCCTTCTGGCCCAACTCTGGACGAGGCGAACTTGACGTATCCGAAGCTCGAGAGAAGAGCGAGGCAGTTTCCAATGCACCAATCAGGAGCTGTTCGTCATCATGTGTGGGTGAACTCCGCTCCAGTCCGTGGCCTTGCCAGCCATCGCAATCCTGCAGAAACGTGCCAGTGCCGCTTTCAGCCGCGCATAATCTCGTTCAGATAAGGTAAAGGCCTCCAGGTCGCTGAGAAGTGCATTGTAGGCGAAATCCTGCAGTAATAAACGTTTGAATTTCCACGGGAGCTCTAGTTGTCAGACCGACCCCGTCGAACGAAACGATGCCCAGGAATGGGCAATACGTCGATCGATCTCATGGTTAGCTCTGTCTTGAAGAACCATGTGGGGACCCAGGTAGCGAACTTGTTCCCGTATTGAGCCCTCGTGGTCCACTCCTTTCTGTAAGGTCTGCTTAAGATGCGTACTGCGCTCACCGAAGAGCATCATGTGCTCCTGCTTGGACATGTTCTGGCCGAGCCCACAGGGCCCCAGTCTAGCATTTAAATATGAACCCTGCTGCTTCATCTTCTGCTTGAACTGTGATAGGATAGAGTCGAAGTCTGCCAGAACGAACTTGTGTATGTCACCAGCATACTTAAGTAGCTCAAACGGATGTTCGACCCTGCCCATCTCGCAATCAACTCGTGGTTGCACGAGTCAGAATTCAGTGCATCGCTGTGCCGCTCAGCCAAAGTTGGCTGGAATGTCCCGTTGAAAGCCTGCACGATGAGCGGGACCCCCATGAGCCCTCCCTGCCGAGGCTTCGGAGTAAGTCTCCCACCCTCCCCAGCAAGTCGAGCCACCACTGCCTCGCGATATCGACGACGGCAATGGCTCCGATCATCGGGTGGTGCATATTTGTGCGCAGCAGCGTCAATGAGCGGCCACTTGCCGTTGGCGAGCGCATTACTCATATCCTTGAAACACAGAGCGTGGGTCCTGCGAGCCCGACGTAGCTGGTGTGAAAGCACATTTGATGCCAGGATGGCCGTCTTCCTCCCTCGTCCTTCCCGGACGAATCCATAGTCAGCGCGTCCTGGCGCATACATAAAGTTGCGATATGAACCACTCTTTTGCCCATTGGGCCGCGCTTGTGGCTCTTGTGTAGGGGGGGCCCAAGGCTGCAGTTCCAGTGCGTAAGTACCATGCTGTATGTACGCATCTTATGCAAACCAATGCTCAATAGAAACCAGAATGCCTTCGTGCCGGGGGCCTGCGAGAACTCCAATGCCCTGTACCTGGGTCCGTCGCCAATTGAGAAAGAGCGTGTTCTACCGCTGCTGGCGGAAAACCGGGGGGGTCACTACCGGTTCGAACCCCTCCCCCCCCCCACTCCGGAAAACCGGGGGGGGTCGGTCACTACCGGTTCGAACCCCTCCCCCCCCCACCAGTTCATCATGAAAAGGGAGGGGGTCACTACCGGTTCGAACCCCCCCCCCTCGAAAATCGAGGGGGGGTGCGGACAGTGGTGGGGACGGTGGTGGTGGGGACAGTGGTGAGGGGACAGCGGGACAGTGGTGGGGACAGTGGGACAGTGGTGGGGATTGTAGTGGTGGGGACAGTGGTGAGGACAATGGTGGAAACAGTGGGGACAGTGGACAGTGGTGGGGACGGTGGTGGTGGTGGGGACAGTGGTGTGGGGACGGGGACAGTGGGAAGTGGAAACAGTGGGACATTAGAGGGTACAGTGGTGGTGGGGACAGAGGTGAAGGCGGTGGCGAGGACGGCGGTGGGACAATGGGACAGAGGTACAGTGGGGACAGTGGTGGGGACAGTGGGGACAGTGGTGGGAACAGTGGGACAGCTCAGTGGGACAGCGGAGGAGTCAGTGGGACAGTGGGGACAGTGGGGATAGTCGGGCAGTGGTTGGGGCCGTGGAGAAAGTGGGGAGAGTGGAACCGTGGTGGGAACAGTGGTGGGGACAGTGGGGACAGTGCGACAGTGGTGGGGGCACTGGTGGGGACAGTAGGGACGGTGGTGGAACCAGTGGGGACAGTGGTGGTGAGGACAGTGGTGCTGGGAACAACAGTGGGGGATGTGGCGCGGACGGTGGTAGGGACCAGGAGTCGTTTGCTGGCGGTGACTGGGGGGGGTGGGAGGGGTTCGAACCGGTAGTGACCCCCCCTCTGGTTTTCGAAAGGGGGGGGTGGGGGGGTCGAACCGGTAGTGACCCCCCCCGGTTTTCGAGGGGGAAGGGGGGAGGGGCGGGGAGGGGTTAGGGGAGGGGGAGGGGTTTGCCGGGGGAGGGTCCAGCAGGGTGGGGGGGGGGGACCTCCGGGTTCCGGAAGAAGAGGGGGGCAAGTTTCCAGAGTAAAGCGGCGGTGGATCACGCTCTCTCCCAATTGGGGTACATGACCATGTGCCAGGGCTCGCGAGGCGCGCGAAAACTTGGTGCAGTCTCTTTTGGGGCCGAGCTTGCGTGCCTACGCATCTGTCAGATATCTTCCTCGACAAGGTCGGTGGCCTCCTCATTGTCGACAAAGGCGTAGTCATCATCGTGCTCCTCCCGCCACCGTTCCCAGACAAGTTCCGTGCAGCTCACGCCCCCGTCTTTTCCCTTCTTTTCCCGCGTAGCTAGCCAGACCGATGCAGAGGGCATGCGCGCGCTCGGGCCTGCCATCTCGTTGCTTCGGTCCATGCCCGCGCGAGGCGGCTCGGCGTGCTGTGGACATAGCTTCGGCGTCACGTCGAGACTTCTGGTGATCCGTAGACTCCTCCGTCAGCCTAGCCCTCCTCCTCCTCGTAGCTTGTCTCCTCAACTTGCAACGCCTCGTGGAGATCTCTCGGATCTGCTGATCGATATGCTCGATGCTCCCAGCGGGGGGCAAACAACTTGGTACCGCGTAGTTCAGCTCTTTCCTTCAGAGCATGCGGTGCCACTTCGAATGCACCTGGCACTCTGGGTCGGCGGTCGGCTCCTCAGAAAAGACCTGCTCTCCTGCAGCTCGCAGCGCCGTTTCTAGAGCTCCGAACACCTCGTCAGCAGATGCGTGGTCACGCGGCCACTGTGGGTGCAACAGCTGGAGGCTTGCGTGGAGGGGGGGAAGGCGTTTCCTTCCGAATTCGTCTGAGTTTAAACCCCAGCCTGTAGGGCGTCCTTGGCTCCAGGTGGCTACTTCTTTGATGCCGATGTGCCGCCTTTGTTTTGATGCATGTTGGAATGCGACCGCTTCCTCAGA